AAGAACTGAAGTACACATCACACAGGGAGCAGTCAAAACCAATCAGCACGTAATTATTTCAGCATGAAGTCTGGTGAAGAAATAATGGCCAAATAAAATAATCCAGTCATAAAAAAAGTATACAGTTACATAGAAAGTCAATATGAAAGAAGTAAAATAAGAAATCTGGAACAAAATCTGAAAATCAGAAGTGAGAAAGTCGATCAGCTTCAATGTCAGCATGTTCCAGGCAATGCTCTTTAATGGAAATTAAATTAAAGCACCCACCCTTTTAGGAGCATGAATAGGATATGTGGATGGGCACTAATGTATTCCACAGTAGGGCTGCGTGTGCCGATTTGTCTTCTCAAGATGTTGTTAAATATCTGGGAAACATCCTTTTTGCCCTGTTAAAGAAGCAAAATACATCTTTGCTCAGAAAAACATCAACAAATGACTACGTACTGTAATATCTATTCAAAGTAGAAATGACATTGAAACAAGAACAAGTCAATCTGCTTTCTGGGGGCTCTTCACAGTCCCATCAGCTCATATTTGCTGTTTCTTCAATGCCACAAGGTTTCCTCCGTTGGGTGGCTCTGAAGCCCTCCTGTCACCCCACTCCCATTTATACCTTTCTTTCTCTAAATGAAGATGTCCATCTGCCTTATTCCGTCAAGCAAGTCTTTGGCTATCCTAAAACAGTAAAAAAGCAAGCCCATGTTTCCGCAATGTGTACTATTGCTCCTGCAGCCAGTACCAATACATCACCCCATGCCTAGATTTACAAAACTAAATCTTTGCATTAGACAAATGCAAACAATGCCAAGTGTGATTGCATTTCTGAAAATCAGGGTTAAATTTAAGCTGCACCCATTATTTTATCACAACAAATGAAAGAATTACTACCGATAAAACAGCTGCATCACGTATATGTCTCTGCTTTAGGCACAACTGAGATCCTTCACTGTCCTAATTCTCTCCTGTACACATGTATCTACACAATCACATTCTGCCTTTAAACACTTCTCTGTGTAAATAGCTCTTTGCAAAGGTCTTTCCAAATTATGTTCAATTCAGCCTCAAGGTTCACCAATACATCTTGCATTACAAGTCCTCTTCCTCTCCCACCTCCTTCTCCCTTGGCCATGGCAGACAAATTGATGTGTGAAATTAAGGGAAGGGGAGACCTCTGCACTAATCACCAGTAACCAAGGCACTGAGTCAACAGCAGGTGACTATGCACAGGGCAAGCTAAAGCAAAAGGTTACTTATAATCTGTACATGCTCATTGATCTGTCTCAGGAGGACAAACATTCTTGGCAGAGAACTTATTGAACATTTGAAGCCAAGGAGCAGATAGTTTCACACAGAGGAAAATTCCCTGGTTTCACCTCTACAAATAAATTACTGCTGAGAAACATGAAATATTCTGCTTTCCTACTTGTTCCAGCCCAGCTGGCTTGGAGACTCAGAGACTCAGGGACTCAGGGAATTAAGCATGAGAATCAAATCAGAGCAGGCCAGTTCATCTGCCTTTGTCTGCAACACTTTTTTGACCCTTAGACATTCCCACAATTAGGCTAATTCTGTATAAAGTCATCCCATTCTCCCCTATCTTTACAACACCCATATTGTATGCCTGGAATCCTGTGATCCCTTGCGGCTTCAGCAGTTACTCCAAGACCAAAACAATCCAGACAGAGAAGAGCTGTTGAAAGGGTGAGGTAAAGATGGCCAAAAATTAAGTGGGCCTCTCTGCTATGCCAAATTTTATATTAGTTACCTAATATTGGGTGCCTTGCAGCATTTTATCCAACAGCAGAGTAGATATAGATCTATATATGTATGTATAAATGAATGTATCCCATTACATCTAACTTTCTAGAGATCAGTGATGGTGAAAGCCAAAGTTGATTTCCCTGGGTTCTCCTGGAGGGAATGGAGGCAGATAGGAGGGAACCACGACAGACTTCCCTCACCATCAGACACATATTAAAATTGTAGGAATACTTTTGAAACACTTCTTACTTGGATCTGCAATTCAATTTTGCCTCATAATGAAATACATATGGCCACTGAAGCACAAGATAAGGCAGCGCAAAGAGAGAGTGGCTAGACAAGAACAAAAAAACCTGCTAAGGATGTGTTATATAAATAACAAATTGTATGATACCTATACCATAATTTAGCTCCTGTTTCAAGGCACAGCAAAGGAAAGATTCTATCATCAGTTCTGGCCATGCAGCTATTAACTGCTTATTTTAGAGGCTTTACAGCTTGTGAACCTTTAGGCTTACATGCAGTTAGTACAATCTACATTTTTAGTTGACTTTTCCTGTATGCACAATTTCCTCAGTTCTTCAAAAGTCAACAATACATTCAATATTTTAAATTTTTAATTGTCTGAATGTCTGTTTCTGAGCTCTGGCCCAAACCCAACTTTTGGACTTCATAACAATATCATCACTAAAATTATATCTTGTTTCTTGAGTGGTAGAAGCAATAAACCTGTGTTTTCTATGGACATGTAATGGATGTGTGCAAGTCTCCCCTACACTGTCTCTGAAAACATACCTTCAAAGGAAAGTACAGCTGTGAAAAACTGGGATCAAAGTGGGCAGCAGGGTTGGTGAGGAGGAAACAAGGAGTCAGGACAAAGCAAAGTAACCTACATGAACATTATTCCCTTCAGAAATCAGATTTCCAAGCAGTTTATGGTTGTGCTTTCTACCATTACATACTGACCAAAAAGACTAATTTGCATCTTACAGAGTGATGAGATTTGCTCATTCAGCAAAGAAACCTAAATACAACTGTGGCCATCAATATAACAAAATGGAAGCAGGAAGGCTGATAAACTGGAAAAGTTAATGGGGATATGAAGACAAAGCAGCACAAGCTCTTATTGTCCTTTTGTTCTATGACATTTCAGTTCTACTGTTTTGTCAAAAGATATGTATAACAGCTTTGGTAAATGATTGGAATCGTTTTGCCATAGAAAAACGTATTTTGCAATAAGAATTATTAACCTTTGTAAAAACAGTAATTCATCAAGAGATTAGGTAATTCATTCAGTGCTTGCATTTAAAGATTGTCCATTCAATATGTCTATAGGGAATTTTTTTTCTGACTAAAGTAATACAGACTGACACATCACTAAAAAAAATGCAGTTGTGCTCCTTCTGTGCCAACATTATCTTCACCTCCCACCTCTCCTTTTTCCTAAAGGTTTTTTAGGGGTTTGGGTTGTTGAGTATTGTGCATTTTTGTAATTAAAACATTTAAGAGCAGACAGGGGTGGCAGGGAGAAGACAAAGGAAAGGTTCTCAATAAATTCTAGCATTGAATAATAGAACTCCTGAACTTAATACCTGAGGAAGAGTGAGAGAATTTCATTAACAACGTTTTTAAAAAAGAAATGCAAAATAAATAAATCAGTCCTTGAGTCCTGGCTTCACTGGGGGGAGGGGGGAAGAGGGTGAAAAAGAAAACATAAATCTCCCATTGTTCCTCCCTTTCATTCATTTACAAAATGGAAAGAAAATAACTTCAGTAAGGGGAAAAAAAAGTCCCCAAGGAAGAGACTTCCACAAAAAGTGATTCTGAGAGCATCAGAAGATTTCTCTGAGAAATGGATTTTTAATTTCAGCAGCTGCCTATACATTGGGTACTGCTCCAGCTTCATACCTCAGCAGTGGAGTTTGGTTGCTGTGAGATGGGGATTTCTCACTGATGCTTGGACACTTGTAATGATTCACCAGCACCCAGGAGCCACAGAAGTCACAGAACTGATCACAGCAGTCCCTGGGGACCACTCTCTGCTGACTGCAGACCACAGGAATACTATAATGACCCACCAGTGACAGAGTTCCTTCCCAGTCCCTGCCAGTCAACAGGCAATTATAAGGCTTTATATTTATCCCGAATTGCTGCAATCTTTTCTACTATAACTCTTCTTTTTCCTTACTTGTAAGCAAGTTCAGTTGTCTCAGTACTTCTCTACTAAGGTTTTGGCTTTAACAGCAAAGCCAACGAGGAATTCCACAGAATAAAATTATAGCAATAATAATATTTAAATT